AAGATAAAATAGGTATAACTCTTGCAAGACATAAGCATATACAAAGACTTTCTGAATAAAACCTCAATGATACAAAGAATAATACCAAGAATCAACAAATGAGATCATATCAAATTAAAAAGCCTCTGTACAGAAAAGGAAACAACCAGCAGAGAGAGGTAAGAGACAACCTACAGAATGGGAAAAAATATCTGCCAGCTATTCCTGAGACAAAGGACTAACATCTAGAACAATGCTGGCAAACCTATGGCCTGCATGTTGTTTTTCTTTTAAGACAAAAGATGTTGCTTTTCCGAGTGCAGCATTCAAGCAGATCCGTGGATGCCAGCCTCAGAGCTGCATCTGTTGAATTCCCTTCAGTTGTCTAGTAAACACTGCTGGTGCAAAAAAAAGACAAAAGATGTTAATGTATGAAATATTTTTTTCTAAATGAAAACTTCAGTATTCAGGTTTAATTGCAATATTGGTATTTTGTGTTAAATAAGTGGATTTTGAGCTGCAGTTTGGGCAACTGTCTCTAAACGGTTCACCATCCCTCATCTAGAATATGTAAAGAATTCGAAAAAATTAGACTCCCCAAAATAAAAGACCCAGTCAAAAAATGGGCAACCAAAATGACTAGCCACTTCTGAGAAGAAATACAAATAGCCAGTAAATACATGACAAATACTCAACATTGCTGGCTGTTAGAGAAATGCAAATTAAAGCTACATTAAATTGTGCTGGTATAAATAATGGGCATGTGTGTGTCACTGTAATACGATGTTGTTCAAGATGACACCTAGAAGGAGAATACCTCCGCAGGCAACCGAGGACCTTGGTCCCTAACTCTCCCAGAGACCAACAGCCAATCCTCTGTGCAGACTGCCCAGAGTTGGGAAGGGAGTATCTTTGCTTCACTTAATGAATCTGTATACCGTGTAGAACTCTGGATAGTAACTGAATTTGATAGCGCCTTGATGTGATAAGATTTTGGTTTCCCAGGGGACTCCTCTCATCTACTCTCAGAGCAGCAGGTTGGCCTGAGTCCTGTGCTTTCCTTTTGGGTTAGAGGTGGGAGCCAGGGACACACAATGTCATCATCTCCCCAGTGCTGATTGCCTGCCCCGTGTGCCCTGAAGTCCGTTGAGGAGAGCTTTGGGGCACAGCACAAGACATGTCTCACTGCTCAAGCTTTCACACATTTGACACATCTGTAGTATGTAAAACTGTGTTCAGAAAATGGATTGAAAAAATTGATTTCAAAATGAAAATAGTTGAAGGGTTGATTTCCAGCAGGGGAGTTTCTAGACTCAATATGTAAATTTTGGATTTACCTATTGCCAAAACTCCTAGGTAATTTGCTTTGTAAATAAGTTTATTGATTTTTTTTCACGTGTTAAAGGAGCAATTTCCTGTTTTTTCATCCTATTGCACAAGTTTTGTTAAGTGCTCAGTGCCATTTAAATCATAAAGTGGCCCAGAATCCTGTTTCTCTGGAGACAGCTACAGCCAAGTGATTGGTAGAAAGTCACAACTGTCTACACTTCTCTCATTTCCATAGCGCCAACTTGGTGACTAGCCTACCCAAAGTAAAGCTTTCTGTGGGAAGTATTTTCTAGAGAGAAATTGCACAGGAAAAGTGAGGCCTTTATCCAGTGGTGAGAAGAGCGACATGCTCTTAGGACAGTGAACAAGCTGCCAAGTGGCTACCTGGAGGAGAATCAGAATTAGAGCAAGGAGTATTAACCCCACCAGTGGGAGCAGCATTTACTATAGTGTGGAGAATGCAAGATTTCCTTGGACTGCTATACTCTTAGTGTTCCTTGTAATTGTTAAATGCCCTGCCTGTGCTGAATCATAACTTTTTTCAGCCCATACTTCAAGATTGCTAAGGAATCAAACTTCAGAAGGCACCTTAGCCTAGAGTGATTCAGAGGGATAGTAAAGTGTAAAAACTCTATTACATTGGACAGATATTTCCAGCATTCTTTCTTCTTGATTTATATCACTTACTGTTTTTGCCCATGAGTAATTGTTACTGAAAGGGAAGATATGTTTTATGTAAGCAGAGCCACAATTAAGTGTACCCTCAAGAAAATGGAAAAAGAAAAAAATTAAGTGTATTCTCTAATTGTGATTTGTGTTCACCTGTGAACTTGGCCTCCAAGTAAACATCCCTACATTTAGCAAAATATGTATGGATTCAGTCTTCCCCTGGGTATTTCATCTGACATGGAAGGACTGGTAACATTTCTAAGTCTGTTTCCCCGCACCCTGCGTGACCTCTGGAGATTCCTCTCAGCTCTGAAACTGTGGGATTACCATGACCATCTCTAGCAGTGACTCCTCTCTCAGTGTCTGGCCTGCTTTGCATTTGGTGGCAGGATGGCTGCACTTGGTACCCTCTCTCCATCACTTAATCAGGGGACCTCATCCCTGAGCATCTTCCTGACTCTCCCAAAGGTTGTCTCACTTCCCTCCTAAGTCCTCTAAAGAATTTAACGCTGTTAGTAGCTTCATTTGTTCACTTTCCTTTCTAGTTTTCTGTTCTTGTTAATTATACCATTGCTCTGGTATTTTAAATTAGAAATTATAGAATATTTTTTCCTCTGCATAATTAATCTGTTAGTGAGTACTGCTTATTCGTCCTTTGCAGTAAGTGATTCAGTTTTATTAATTCTCTTCCATGCTTGGTCCTGCATTTAAGCTTTTGTCTTCCCTTTTTTTTTGGGGGGGGGTAGTTTTTGTTTATTTGAGACAGGATCTCACTATGGAGAGTCCAGGCAGGTCCATAATTCACTATGTAGCCCAGGCCGGCCTTGAACTCACGGTGATCATCCTACCTCAGCCCCTGCAATCCTAGGATTATAGGTGTGTGCCACCATGCCTAGCTTCTCTTTTTGGCTATTCTGATGTCCTCATCCATCCATCTATCCATCCATCCAAATGTTTATTATCCCTACCATTTTTCAGGTAATCTGTTAAATATTAGAAATAAACACCACATATGTACATCTTATAGATCTTCCAGGCAAGTACATGGACAAGGATTCAAAAATTTTCATGTGAACGTTCTTTGAGGACTTGGCTAGGGACCCTAGATTGTAGAGCCTGAAATGAAGGAAATCATTTTAAAAGTAAGGATTTGGCAAGAATAAAAATATTACTTACTTGCTAGGGAATGAGGGAAACAAAATGTTATGTGAATCCCCAGTTAGGTGGGTGATTGTGAAACAATTCAAAACATACAATTTAGAGTCATAGAATTTTAAAATATTTCTGTGAAATATAAGAAATTAATTTGTTTATTTAAAAAACATTTGAAGAACACTGGAATAATTTGGTGACCAAGACAAGATGAATCGCTGCTCTTTGAGAGCTCCTAGTCTAGTTGAAGCAGTGGGTTGGAAGGTAGCTTTGGGAACTGACAGGCCCACAGAAAGTGTCAAGTACCTGCTGTGGTCAAGAAGTACATCAGGCTCTGATAGCCAGAGGTGTCAACAGCATTGTGAAAAAAATGCCAGAGAGCTCAAACTTCAGGAAGGTTTCTTATCTATGCAATCCATTTATTTTATAGGTAAGAAAACTAAATGTTTACATGGAACATATCAGTGGCAAACCAGGCCTGCCATACCTGACTTGAGTCCCTTAGGTGCTTTGTTTGTTTGGTTTTTTGTTTTGTTTTGTTTTGTTTTGTTTTTTGGTTTTTTGAGACAGTGTCTCACTATGTAGTTGAGACTGACCTAGAATTCACTATGTAGCCCAGGCTGGTCTTGATCTCACAGCGATTCTCCTGCCTCAGCCTCCCGAGTGCTGGGATCACAGGCGTGCATCACCACGCCCGGCTTCCTTAGGTGCTTTGTTATTTCCTGTCTTTTGCCTTGATTCCAGATTTCCTAAGTGCAGCATCTTCAGTTTTTTTCTTTCACAGAACAAAGTAGGTTTTGAGAAATAGCCATCATTTTCAACCTGTTGGCAAGGCTGACACCTATCTTAAAATGGAGGAAGTGCATTTAGACTTTTAATTACTGCAAGTATACATCATACTGCAGTGACTTGTTTTGAAATTACCTTTACTTTCAGATTATAGCGAAGATTAAAATCTAAGAATTCTGTGATAATTTTAGTAAGTAACCCAACTCAAGAATTAAAATTATTTCAATTTTTAATATCTATTTTTAAATATTCTAGGAACAAATTTTCTTATGCATATAACAAAGCATAATTTATTGACTGCTTCACATATTTGGCATACAATGAATTCAAATACTTTCTACTGTAATAACTCTTGCACAAATGAACATGATAAAAATCAGTTGATCTATAACATATTTTAGATAAAAGGAATTTTAAAATAAAATGGCTAAAGAACAGCCTTGCTGGAATTAACTTTGTAAATCTAGATGAGTTGGTTGACTATCTCATTGGGTTTATTTTTAATTATATTTGAATAATAAATTACCAGAATACTATAGCATTTATTATATATTTAGCAGATAAATGTGAAGTAGGCTTATCTGAATATTTGTTATGATAATTTAAACTTAAATGCAAATGCTTTAATGTTGAGTCATTATATTCATTTAAATGCTGTTTAATATTTGCATTACTTAAAGCATAATAGCTGATGCCAGTGGCTGTGCTTTTGATGAGGCTTTCTTCTTTCCTGAAAGAAAATAATCTGTAAATATATTAATATTTTCAGAAACAGCATAAGTTACAAACATCTTTTTCCATTTTTCCTGTATTTTTATCTGTCTTTGCATCTGGGAGTCAAACTTTCACATTTTTCGGTTTCCCTGCTAATGCTTGTATATTCTTAACTCTGTTAGGTAGTAATAGTGCATAATGCAAATTGTTAAGGGTTTTACTAAATATAACTTAATATAACAGTCCACAGTGAAAGAAAAAGTAATTTATGAAGTGAACCCTGCTACAAGAGCTGCCCCTTGGTGTTTTTTCACTTGTTTGTTTTTTCGTAGCAGGAGCTGATCCTGTGTCATTTTTCTCCATTCAAGGTCCCTCAGTGGTGTGCTGAATATTGCCTCTCCATCCACTACCAGCACGGGGGTGTGATATGCACTCAGGTGCACAAGCAGACTGCGGTGCAGCTTGCCCTGCGAGTAGCAGACGAAATGGACGTTAACATTGGTCATGAAGTTGGCTATGTGATCCCTTTTGAAAACTGCTGTACCAGTGAAACAATTCTGAGGTTAGTTTTTGGAGGCTTCATCTCTTCCCCCATGACTCTTTGCTTGGTTTCTGAAATCCGAAAAGAGCACTCTTCTTGCCTTGTAATGATAAACATCTGCGAGATAGTAATAACTGGTCTCTTGTCTGTAGCCTGACACATATTGGTTGTTTCCCACATAGGCATCTTTGGAGATCCCTTGTCTAAAACTCCTGTATAATTCTCAGGAAAAATTTCAGCTCATTTGGCCCTGCTGAACTTGAAGCTTGTCCTGGTAGATGGGTCCACATCATTGCCCATGTGCCAGCCATGTGGACTTCTGTAGTTCTTTGTGCCACACCGTAGTACTTTGTGCCTTCAAACCTGCCATTACCTGTGTTTGCTGTGCCTCTTCTGGGCTTGCCAACTCTTATTCATCCCTCAAAACTCAGTGCAAGAATTGCCCACATCAGGCAGGATTCCATGATACTCCAAAGTCTGAACTGGAAGCTTTCTGCTGGGCTTCTGCAAGACTTGCTATCAACTTTCATCATGACTGTTTAGATCTGTTTTTCTTGCTGTGCTTTTCAGTCATAATGGGTTCCACAGAGTCTTCTCTGTGGCTACAAGTTGTGTATTTTTGTATGTTTTAGCTTCATTTTGAGATTTCCTTGGAAAAAGGGCTTCCAAGAGCTTGATATAAAGAAGAAAAAAGACAAAAAGGAAGTGGGAAAATTAGAAAAGTCACTGCCCTAAGCCAGTGCATATCTAGTGGTTTTGTATCATTACCTTTATAGGCAGTGCTGATGTTTTGTCCAGCACCTCAAGAAAGTGGTTGATCTGGGAATGTAGCTCAGTGGGAGAGCCCTTGTTTAATATGTGTGAGTCTCTGGGCTCAATCACCACTAACCCCCCAAAAATTAAATGGTTGAAGCAGCTTCAGCCAGAGGTGACCTCCCCTAAGCTCAGCTGGCTCAGGTGTTGCCTGCCCCTCCAGGAGCTAAGTAGATCATTACAAACTGATATGAGGATCAATGTATCTGCACATTCATAGCCCATCTGTGTAGCATGCCAGTGTGCTAGGGCATAACATGTGGAAAGATCTGTTTCAGGATAATGGCATAGGGATGGCTCTCTGCACATCAATATTTTCACTGCCTGATTTGCTTGTCCCTTGGAGGATGCTCAGTAAACTTGACAGTAGAGGAAGGAGTATTGCCCTGGTCCAGCTAGCACTGCAGACTGGTGCAGCTCTATGTCCATTTAGAATCCTCGTAGGACTCACTTGGTTTGTGGCAAGCTGCTTTCCCTCATGTCTTATCTTCAGAAATAGATGACACTTGTCTTCAGGCTAGTGTCAAACCATAGGGAGTCTTTAGACCAAAAGCATTCACTTGAACTTCATGAGGAAGTAATACAGCTTTGTAATATAACCATGATGTCCTTGGGTCACTGAATTACTATTATATATTTATAAGTTACCTATTATGTAAACAGGTCATTGGCAGTACAAAAAAATGTACTTCCTGCTTAAGAACTCAAAGCTAATTGAAGACTTGAACAGAACAGCGTTTACAGCTCTGAAAGGGGGAAGGATCCCTAAGTTTAGCAGATAGCACTCTTTATTTTTTATATTTCATTTTATTGTATTGACTGGTTATTTGATTGGTTAATTGATTGATCGATTGTACTGAGAAATAAGCCCAGGACTTTCACACTGAGCTACACCCTCAGCCCTTTATTTATTTATTTAGAGACAAGGCCTCACTAAATCACTGAGTTGCCTAGACTGGATTTGGCTTTGTGATCCTCTTGCCTCAGTTTCTCAGATTTCGGGGATTACAATCCTGCACCACGATGCCCCAGCTATTTTTTTACTTTTTTAAAGTGGCCTTTCAAATTGACCTGGTTTGAATTAAATGATGGCTCCAAGTTCTAAAGCCAGTGTATGTGTTTTTATATCTTTCATGTTATATAGACTTTGGAAACCTTTTGGAAGAGACTCTTGGATATTAACATTTTTAAGATGAAGCAGAATATATGTATATATTTGATTGATAGGTTGATTGAAAGCCACAGAGGTAGACAATTGTGGGGAAATGTAATAATGTTGTAGAGAAGGTCAGGATGTTCCCTACCTTTTAAATATCTACATGTTGGACTTAGCTTTCATGGGATTGTTTTTTGGTGGAAACCTCAAGCCAAGTTCAATTCTGATAAGACAAGAGTAGGAAGGCGGCAGTGCACAGGCACCTCTGATGACAGATAGAAACGAGCATCTGCTTTGGCCACTGCAGGGTCTGTTTCTCTATCATTGCTGGGTTCCCTTGTCCTCTTTTTTATATCTTCACTTTACAATGCATCTGTTCCTGGGACATTGCACTTTCTTTTCTACCATGACATCTCTGCTGAATCAGTGCAGTCAGCAGCCATCTGCTACATTGTTGTGAACAGGGTTGACTCTCAGGAAGGAAGCTAAAATGGTTTGAAAGCCAACCCTATGGTTGGCAAAAATAGTGCCCTATTTTCCTTCTGGAATTCTGTGCACTGACAAGGAGGCATCTGTAAAATTGTGTGATTAATGCACCTGCTTAGAGTAGTGTTGTAAGGACCAAGTGAATGTATGGGACTGAGGCATAATTATATAGGCGATAGTTATTTTTTTTATTTTTTTTTTTTAGTCTTATTCTTTTTTCATTATTTAGAGAATACTTTATTAGTTTCTGTAATCAAACCCACGTAGATATGGCCTTACATATTTAGTATGATGTGTTACCCCTGAAGGTGATAGTTATTTTTATAATTAAATTTGTAATTATATCTTTATAATTAGAGACAGATTCATTTTCCTGTAGAAGTGTACTAGCCATAATTTTGCATAAGCTCAGATTGAATAGCTATTTAAATCAGCTATTCAATTGGGCTGGGCATTTAGCTCAGTGGTTCTGCCACCTGCCTCGCAAGTGCAAGGTCCTGAGTTTGAACCCCGGTACCAAAAAATAAATCAGAGGATTAAAGGTTGGTTATTGATTATTGTAGGCAGTGCTCTATAATTACTATGATCTTCTTCATTTTCTTTGTAAACCCTTAGTATCTGATTTATCAGGCACTTGGTTGGCACTTAATAAAGCTGTCTTTATGCTTGTGGCTGTTGCTTGGGATTGGTGGGGGCTATACATAACAGTTCCGTTACTTTGTAAGGTTTTTTTCTTGCCTTTTCTGAAACAGTAGATATCTGAAAACTATGTATCTAAAATAGCTTTCATAGACTACACATCAGGATATCTTGTAGAAGTAGCACAGATTTCCAATACTGACCTGTCCAACTTTGAGGACTGAAAAGTTCTCACATTTTCATTAAGGTAAAATTCAGTATATAAAATTTTAGGAAATATTGATAGTGGTCTTTTAAATATTTTATTATATTCTTAGCTTTTATAAGTCTTAGGAATTTTAAGTATAAACTATTTTCTTGGCAGTTTATGTGTATTTTTTGCTTAGTTATCAGTAACAGCACTTTTTAAAGCATTATACACGTGATATTTTATTAACATAAAGGTAAAAAAATCTTTGTGTTATATAGAAAAGAATTAAAAGTTTGTGGAGTACATTTTAGGATTGAGCCTTTGTGGTTTCTTTAATATCAAATGATCATCCGAAAGCCCAGGAATTTCTCGCTAAGTCTAGCAGAGTGTGTGATGTCATGCCCCTCTACCCTTATCACCCCAGTGCTGGGGATTGAACCCAGGGCCCCAAGCCCATTGGTGTATGTATATATGTATGTATTTTTGAGACAGCATCTCAATTTGTAGTTCAGATTGTCCTTAAACTCACTATGTAGTCCAGGCTGGCCTCAAACTCATGGCAGTCCTTCTGCTTCAGCCTCCTGAGTGCTGGGATTACAGGCGTGTGCCTCCACACCCAGCTCCCCATTTTGTTTTTTATTCTGAGACAAATTCTTGCTAACTTGTCCAGGCTGGCCTGGAATTTGTGATCCTCCTTCTTCAGCTTTCTGAGTAGCTAGGATTACAGGTGTGCATCACCTTGCTTAGCTAAGCAGAGCTTTAAAAAGGTCACCAACTACTCTCTTTTCAATTAAGCCTAGATGTATTTACATAAAGCATAAACCACTTCTGCCATGTGGTAAGCATTGCTTGCTATATGATCAATGTTTAGATGAGTTTTGCTAAAAAGGAACAGATTGAATTTCTAACATTAAAGAAATAGTGTGGATTACAGTAGTTTGAGATGAGACCATAATATATCATTGTTTAATACCCTATAACCTTAGCAAAATATGATTTGAAAGTGAGATTTTGGCTTCATCTATTTGTTTGCATCTCACATAATGTATGATACTATAGTAGTAAAGATATTTCCAAGTTTGAGAAGAGGAATGATCAACGTGTCATTTGGTAAGACACAGATGGATAATATGTATGAAAAAAAAGAGGGCAAATGCTTTGATCTCGTAGAACAACATAGAAGATTGAGCGCAAAAATCAACAAAACCATGGAGGCTGAGGAAGCAGTCTGTAAATTGACAGTGATATCAGATGAGATAGATGTTCAAGTTTAATTTGTTGTTGCTGCTGCTGCTGCTGCTGCTGTTTCGTGACAAAATCTTGCTGTGTAGCCCAGGCTGGCCTTGAACTTACTATGTAGCCCAGGCTGGCCTCAAATTCATGGCAATCCTCCTGCCTCAGCTTCCTGAGTGCTGGAATTACATGTATGTCAAGTTTAGATCTTAACTCTATCCTCGCTTTATGACCTTTGGCAGAGCACTTAATCTTTCTGAACCCTAGTTTCCTCATTTGTAAATATGGGGTGGTATTATCTACCTTAAGATTTATTTTATAATTAAGTGAGAAAAGATGCACCAGCACAATGCCTGACACATACTAGGAGCTAAAAAAAATGTTGGGGTTTCCCCCCCATTCTTCTCTTTTTTTCTTAGACAGCTTTTTTATGGATCCCTAAGACCACCCACAGGTTCAATAATTTGCCTGGAGCATTCATAGTATTCAGAATAATCTAAACCACTAAAATTTATTGCAGTAAAAGGATACAAAGCAAAGGGAAATAGTAGATAGGGTGAAGTTCAGAGGAAAACAGGCACAGGCTGCCAGAAGTCCTCTCCCAGTGGAGTCACACAGAATTGGCTGAATTTCCCTGCCAGTGAATTTGACAACCATGTGAAGTGGTGTCCTACCGGGGAAACTTACTGGAAACTCAGTGCCCAGGGTTTTGACTAGGGGCTGGTCACATGAATACCCTGCCTAGCACCTTCCAAAATCCCAGACACCCAAAAGTGCATGTTCCACAGAAACCACATTGCTTGCACAGTCTAGTTACAGTGAGTCAGTCTTACCCATTCTGGGAAGGAAGGTTGAGAACCCTCTCCCTAAATCTTGAGTTTCCAAATGCCAACAACCAAGGGCAACCTTGTGATTAGGCCTTTATAAGGATAGTAGTTATAGACCTGCCATAATAAGGATAAATAACAGTAAATTGCTTAAATGGATAGAAAATTTATAAAATTAGT